TGTGACATCATGAGGCTGGTGAAGAGAACAAGAGACGTATATGTTGAAAATGCCCCAAGGCCTGAAATCCCTGTGCTCCACTGGTGGTGGTGACTGAAGTGCCCATCCCTCTAGCCCCACTGCCCCACCACCCATCGGCCCCTGGGGAAAGGAACCAGCGGCACCCGAGCCACCTGCACTGATCCACCGGAGTGGGGCCTGCTCAAGACTCACAAAGGCTTCGGTTCTCTGCCACTCCTAGAACGTATGTGCTAGCCCAGCTTATTCCTTTAACCTAATTAGGGCAAAAGAATCACTAAAGTCAGTTCTGAAAGACACTCCCCAGCAAGGCCTTGAAGGCCCTGGGCTTGACAACTGGCTGCCTCCATGAGACCCAGGAGTACAGATGGAAGGCAGCTTGCTCAGGTGCCAGGCTGTCAGTTGGATTAAAATGACTCATTTATTTACCCAAGAACCTCACAAAGTGCTTTTACTAACAGGGAGAGGGGGCTGCCGTCTCTCAGAGAAGGGACGAGGCAAACTTGCCTCTGACGCCTTCCTGGCCTGCCAAGAGTCATTATTGCTGTGTGTGGAAAGCCATCAGCAGGGTACAGGCCCCTGTTGTCCGGGTGACAGATTGGGCTGCGTAATCAGAGGAGGAAAGGGAGAGTGCAGAAGCTGTCAGAGTCGGGAGATCTTGGCTGGAGCCGCCAAAAAACTGGCAACATGAGTTAGCGTAACCGAGTAAACAGCAAACAGTCTCCAAATGTCTTCCCATTAACACCGATAAAATAAAATGGGAAAGATGAACTTTACCTGAAAAGCAGACCTCAGAGAAAAGCGAGAAGTCCGCTTCCGCATGGGGCCTGGGCTGACATTCGTGTGACCCTTAGCGCCCTCGCTCCTTTGTTTCCTGAGCAGCATACGAGCCGCACCGAGAGAACTGCCTCCGGCACGAGAGCCCGGCGGGCCGAGACAGACGGACGGACGGAGCCGGAGCACGCAGGGATTGCAGTGTATCCCCTGAAAGAGACACATACACCCCGCACCCCGACCCACCCACTCCAGCGGGGGCTCAGCCAGCATCCCTGGAGAGTGGGACATCACTCCTTCCTATGGAAAAGGCCACTGCATTCCATTTGTTCATGGACAACCAAGGAGGAAAACTGTACCAAGGAAAGCGTAGCTTGGCCTTGACACCAGCGGTGACTGGGAAACTCCATTTTGTTGCCACTCACTGGTATTTCTTCTTATCTGTGCATCAACACAGCAGCGCATAATGATAGATCATGTTCCCTTCCCTTAGCTTAGGGTTAGTTTCCTACTGCAAGCAGGGAAAATACAGATCTGTAGATAACCCAGGGTCTCATATCTGCTTCATTTGATTTTGTAATTCCTCTTGGCAAAGTGTTCCATGAACTTGCAAATTACTTCTCTGCACTTGTCCCTACCCCTTGGGAACCTGGCTCTGCCATGGATCTCATTTTCCATAAGACACGAAGTCTGGGCTGGGGAGATGGCTCAGTAGAATAAGCACTTCCTGGCAAGCACAAGGGCCTGAGTTCAATCCCTGGTTCCACACACACAAAAAAAAAAGAAAAATGACACGAAGTCATACCACCAATGTGTGGAGCCTCGTCTTTCACAAAGCGGTCCCCTGCCCTGACTGCCCTGAGCGCCATCTCCAGACAGACCCTCACCACGGCACAGCCACTCCTCGGCTGAGAGTCTGGTCCTGAGAGGAAATCACAAAGGTCCTGGCTTTAAGGCGCTTATTATCAGCACAATCACACTCACACGTTCCCTTAGCTGCTCCTTGATGGAAGAAAGGCAGAGTTGGGGAGGGAATTTTCAGACAGGAAAGGACACAGTGTTACCCTGCTGTTATGTGTAGTTACAGAACAATTTACCAAGTTCCATAAAGACCCTCTGCCTTCTCTGCCCTTGTAAGAGGATCTTGGGATGATAAATTAAAATGGCAAAGGATGGATGGTGTAAAGGGGCAAATCCCCACACAACAATTACCAACACAAAGCCCCTGTGTGAAGAGAAGCCAGTTCTCCATCTGCCTTGTCCTAACATGGCCCTCGTTCCTCATTAACACCAAGGCGGCTCCCGGAGAGCGCTCAGAGAGCCTGGCATGCAACAGGCTGTGGAGAGGAGCAGCGACAGCATCTCTCCCGCCCCCACACCCTATCACAGCGCATGAAGCTCACACCCAGGCTTTCAGACACCACATGTGTCAAGCTAAAGCACACAGCTATGGCAGAAGCAGCAGCATTTCTGCGAGAGCAGTTCACTGGGACAGGGCCCCTCCCCTGGCTTAGGAAGACAAGACGCAGCTCCACCCAGGTCTTCTTCAAAAATTCTGCAGTGTGAAGAGAATGTGTCGCAGTGGTGGGCGTCTGTGCCCTGGCCTAAAGTGGAGAGGCCAAGGGCCATGACCAGGAGGGCTTCAGAGAAATCAGACGGCAGGCAAAGGAGAGCACGCTTTGCACCTGTCACTGGCGTGGATGGGGCCAGGGTGCCGTGCCCATCCATGTGTGGTCGGACAGTGGTGTTCTTTGCCCCACTGACATCACAGCCTGAGGCACAGGCAGATGAAACAAAAAGGCGACCATGTGCCTTGGACACCACTGCAAATTGCACTGTAGAAAGAACAATCTCCTCCATGGAGAAGCACAGAAGAAATAGCAAAACACAAACTTCAGGTACCTAGAGCTTTGACATTTACTGCACTTCTCTACATGCAGCAAAGCACAGTACTTTTGCATATGGACTCAACTATTTCCCAGGGATAAAAATCTAGGATCTTGGGGCCAGGGAGACAGCTCAGTAGCATAAGTGCTTGCCTGGCAAGCTCAAGGGCCTGAGTTCAATCCTCGGTTCTGGGGAAAAAAAAAATCTAGGCTCTTAATGGTCCAAGGGAGAACATTTTGCTAATATCCTAACCTAAGTTTCAACAAAAGGCTTCTAGTACTTTGTTCTAATGCAGCCAATCTACATAACATTAACTATTCAGGTAATACCACATGGATGAAAAAGTGAACTCATTCCCAATGAACAAGTATATTAATTTCCACTTCTCAAAATCTTTAGAAAAATGCATACATCAGTGGGCTCTTGACCTTGAGTCTTGGGCCCCATCCATCCACAAATAACCACAAATCCCAAGGCCTGCTGTGCGTCCGCTCTGCGTTAGATGCTGGTCCCTATCATCGGTGTGACAACACCTAGACCAGGTGTGATAAGCGTTACCAAGAGAAACACAGGGTTAGAAACTGACACTTCAATCAAAACGGGAGTTGGACGAAGTTGGAAGTGGGGGTGGGTGTTTCCAGAGGGAAAGTGGAGTGTGTGCCAAAGCCCAAGGCATATATATATATATATATATATATATTTTTTTTTTTTTTTTTTTTTTTTTTTTTTGCAGAACCGGGGATTGAACTCAGGTCCTTGTGCTTGCCAAGGAAGCCCTTATTCTACTGAGCCATCTTGCCGGCCCCAAGGCATATTTAAGGAACTAAAAGAAGGTCCTGCTGGGCCACAGGAGGACTGAAACTTACAGCCTGTACTCCTGAGGTTCACCACCTCTCAGACCAGTGCAGTGGCGTGAGAGGAGTGAGGTGAGGAGAAAGGTGTTTGAACAATAATGTGGACACGCTGTGGACTACAAGTCCCCATCAAGGAGAACATCTAGAACATCTGGATTTTAAAATAAAAACAAGCATCTGACATGTACGCTGGCCTCATCAATGGAAGACCAACTTGGTCTCCTCAGGAGTCATGGATTCCCGCTAAAACTCAGGTCTGAAGGATGGTGCCAACGGAGCCAACCTGTCAGGGGTGTGAGAACAACACGTGTGGACACTGATAAGAGGCCTCCAAGCAGGCCTTCACATAGATGAGTGCATACGTGTGCACGCGAGTGCGAGTACACACACACACACACACACACACACACACAATCTGCACTCACCTACAAGCTCTTAGTTTAGAAAGAAAATTGTCTCCTTTAGCTTTAAAACTGAACAGTGGGCTGGTGAGATGGCTCAGTGGTCTAAAGCACCTACTTAGAACAAGCTTAGCAAAGCACAGGGACTGCAGTTGGGTCCCCCAGCACATGCCAGCCAGCCCCGCCCCTTGGTGGGCTGAACTAGCCACACACACACACACACACACACACAGAGGCACACACACAAAACAAACAAACAAACAAACAAAAAAACCACTGAACAGTAAGGAGCTCCTAAAGAAGGAGCTGCATTAAAGGAGGCATTCAAATAGCTAAATAAGACCTTTGTTTTTACCTAGTACCCTTTCACTGAATTTGCTAAATTTACAGTACACTTTCGTTATTGTGCACATAGGGACTTCTCCAGTAACCACTGGGGAGTCAGATTATGTTACCCAAGATGGCGTAAGCAGAGAAGGCATTTTAATCTGGGGAGAGCAACAGCTACAGTAAAAGGAGTCTCTGGAGAGATGGGCCAGAGAAGGTGTAGTTTTCAATCCTGACAGAGCACAAGAGACATGCGTGAAAAAGGCCAGTCTTGCACTGCAGGAGGCAACGCCGGACTGCGCCGTGACCTGGTCCTGGAAGTGATAGTTTTTGACAACAGCTAACAAAATCTGCCTGTGTGCATCTATTTCCCTTCACAAGGGTGAGCAGAGGCAAGCAGAGTCACTTTGCTGTGGAAAGACTTTCTCAGCTCTAATTACTCCCGATAGCTGTAATTTACAAGTTTTTGGTGGCTAGAAATCGCCAAGATTCACACATTTTCAGAGTAACAGCTGCCACTATTAGTGAGCAAATTGCCAAGTCTCCTGCATGGCGGCGGCGAGCTATCTGTGGCACAGTCAGGTGATGATGAGCCAGAGGTGCAGAGCAACCAGCCACACCAAGAGGCCCAGCATTCCTGCTCTCCAGGGGGCTGGCCATGGGACAGGCTGTCAATGATACAAGAAGTTACACCTGTGCTCCTGAAGTTCACCACCACTGAGACCACAGAGATACATACCGTGCAAAGAAGGATGCCTGTTTTGGAATGTGAGAATTTCTCAAACACTGCTGTTCTTTCCTACAAAAACAAGGAAAAAAAGAACCTTACAAAATGCCAAGACAAATCCCAGCAAGGAAGCTATTTCCATAACACCCCCAATTTCCTAGTGCTCTATTTTTAGGCGCAGAGGGGCTCCCCAGCAAAGAGAAGAAGTAGAACTGTCTGCTAAGGCCCTGCATTAACAAGGCTCGGCCTCTGAGGCGGACAGAGGCAGAGCTCTGAGCGCAGCGCCTTCAGCAAGCCAGCCGGTGTGGGCACCACCCACCCTGGGTCAGTGACAGCTGGAAAGGCCCAAGGCCGCAAGTTACACGCCCAGGCTCCAGACAAACTTCATCCCAGCACATTCTTCGAGAAGTACTCTAGAGGAACAAAGACCAGCCTTCCCTATAGGGTAATTTTTTACACACTGTCCTTATAAAATAAAAATTTACTAAACTATATTAAGTGCAGAACACAAAACAATGTAATATATATATATATATATATATATATATATATATATATAACTATATTACATATATAGTATTTGGTACAGGGTCTCACTACACGGCTCCGACTCAGTGATCCTCCTGTTTCAGCCCCGAGATTGAACCCAGGTCCTTGTGTTTAACAGACAGGCTTAGAAAGATGAGCTAAGTTGAAGGAAAAAATAAAATCCCACCACGAGGTGCAGACCCCACTACAGCAGCACTTTAATGCTGCCCAAGTCCCCCTTCTATGTATAACACAACGAGATTCACAGCTGTACGTTTTCAACTACAGTAACTCTACCTCAGGTAATCCTTGCTGGCTACAACACTGCTACCCTGCAAAGCTAATAATTTTTGATTTATTTTTTTTTTAAATAGGCTCTTGGTTGGTAGTAGCGGGTGACCAGAATGGTCTCAAACCTATGGCGACCCTTCTGCTGCATCCTTCTGAGTGCTGGGCATCACAGGCATGTGCCACGACGCCTGGCACAAGACTAATAATTTAAAAGAAGTATTCTACTATTTACCCCAGTACCGTGCTCTTATGTCTCCAGCAAATCTGGTCACCTACTCTGGGCATAAATATTCAACGACCACAGCATCTCACTGGGCAAAACGGTTCTGCTGAAGGGCTGCACCATCATGGCTGTGACCAAACTCCGAGCACTGGCAACTCTGCCGTCTCTAGTTTCTCACTGTCACGACCGGTGCTGTGCAGACATCTGTGCAGAGAAGCTGCCGCGCATACTCTTAGCAGCCCCTTGGGCTGAGTTCCTAGGAACAAGTCTGCTGGCCAAAGAGAAGAGCACGGCTTAGGGCTCGAGGCACCCACTGGCCAGGCCACCGGAAGCATGCTTCAGACACAGTGCTCCAACAGGTGGGCAGTCGGTTACACTCTGGGCCAGCAACAAATAAAAAGGAACAGAATCAAATTACTAGAAATTTGTTTTATTTTTTTGAACTTAGACAGTTGTTTATTACTGAGCTCAAGGCCCCCATCAGCTCTCACACAGGAGAGGACTGAAAAGGCAGCTAGCCAAGGAAGCAGGGGGGCTTTTAAAACATGAAACCACATTCTGTTTGGTAAACAAATTCATTGTCTGACACAAAACAATGCTTTCAGGGTCATTGTGACCACTACCCAAACTAAATTTCCTGGGGCTGTGTTTTAGCTTCTGGTTATCTTGCATCTGAGGACCTGCAGACAGCCTTGCATAGCCCGAGGTTACAAGAAGTCAAATCCCACTTAGTTTCCTTTTGAAGTCATCTCTGTAATCTAACTTTGTTTACAGGGATCACTTAGGTAGGAATTTTATCTAGCAAACAGCAAGTAACAGCCATATTTACTAAACTTAGAACAGTGGTGAGTATATATTTTTACACAACAGAAAACACAAGATTTACATTTATAGTCTAAAACGTGAACTGACCCATTACATTCCCCACTGGTTTCATCTGGGAATCAAATCATTGATTAAGCTAAAACCCCCAAGTCGTTATAATTGTCCCAAAAGCATGAGGGGTTCATAGTTAAGGTTTCAGCACCATTAACTTGACAGTCTAGATTTTTTTGAACATACTTAACCAGTTTATAAAACAAGGCCCAAAAGAGCCAAGAGAAACAGGAAAACAGGTCCAACTGAGGCAGGTATAAGGAGGCATGGGGAATAGTCTCCATTTTTTTTTTGACAAACCTCTAGAGCCAATTTTTTTCCTTTGGCTACATTACACCCCAATTGTTTTAGATGTTGTTCTGCTATTTTGCCAAAGAATAGGTTTTTAGCAACACTAAATGTCATAGCATATGTTTTAATCTCTCAAGTCTTATGCACTCATGACCCTTTGCGGTGACACTGTACCAAATTATTTTGACATGGGGTCACCACTGCTAATCTACTCAAACAGCAAGGAACATTAATTAACAACAGAGTCTGAGTATGTGGGTTTTTCTAGATCGCTAGAACAGGCAATATCTCCCATGTTCCCACTGGTTTTCGTGCAACCTCTCAAGCTGTAACATCAGCCAGGTAGTTTCCTCTTCTGTCTTGAGGTCTGGCCCACAGTGGGCAGCATCCGTCTCTCTCAAGCTGTAAAGTCACCTTGTCTTTAATTTTGTCTCCTTGAGGGCCTATAATATTTTAATCTAACTCAGCTGCCTGCAACATTTTCCCTCTGAAGAAGTAACCCGGACTGCTGTAAGGATGACCCCTCTGGCCACTTCACACTGAAAGGGGTCGCAGTTGTTGACCGGCAGTCAGAGACACTCTCCAGAGGTTCTATCTGAAGGCCCTCAGTAGACACCAAGCACTTTTATCTTGGGTAGGCAGAATGGCTTTAAATCTGGAGGCCAAGCCAAAGAAACAATGAAACACGCATAACACTAGTTAGAACATTTTGTAGGCCCATTAGCAGATCTCTCTTTAATGTGGGGTTTAATCCTTTAACTTTCTATGGTCATTGGGTACTGGGGCACATGAACTGCCGGACCTATGGAAAACACTGAGTACTTTCTGATTGGCAAGTGGGGCCACTGGCTGGGTAACAGACAAATCTGCATGGGCATCTATTAAGTTTAACAGGCTTTCTCCTTATATTGGCAGTTAACATGGGTTCCCTCAGGCTGAGGGGGAAGACCCATGACCACCTCAATCTGAAACTTCCTCGGACTCCATCATAAAAACTTTTTTTCTCTTCTGTAGCGGCTTTGGACATTTTTTGCTTGAAATGTCCCTTTTCTCTGTCTGGGTCCAGGGAAGCGAAACTTTTTCCTTTTTCCTGACTGGCCTTCTTTTCTGTAGGCTGCTAGTATCAACACTCTTATTTTCCATCTATAATTTCATTCTGTATCCTTTCTACTATGAAACACCTAAACTCAGACCAATTCATTCCTGCAAACCCTTCTAACTTCTGCAGCTTGTGTCAGATATTTGGGGCCCACTAAGTAAGGTACAACTTCTTGGTTTTAAGGCCTCCTGCAGGTAGCCCTGCCCAAGGAACATGAAGATAGCTATCCCCATAATGAGGCAGGAAACCCAGAGAAGACTCAGATCACCTGGGCTCTATCAGGCGGACAGTTAGTTTAGGCTTTAATACGTATTTCTATAGACAAAATGTGGTGGATCCCAGTAAAAGGAATCTTAATCTAGCATATTTGTTACAGATTTTACCTGCATTTTGGTATCTTCTAGGACAAAATGAAAGCTAAAGAGTTATTTAGGAGCTGGGAAGATGGCTCAGTAGAATAAGCGCTTGCCAGGCAAGCGCAAGCATGAGTTCAATCCCCAGTTCCGCAAAAAAAAAAAAAAAAAAAAAAAAAAAAAAAAAAAAGTTATTTATTTAGGTGGAACTGGGGATTGAACTCAGGCCCTTACGCTTGCCAGGGAAGTGTTTATTCCACTGAGCCATCTCTCCAGCCCCATCAAATTACCAGAAATTTGGAAAAGGAAAACGTCCTCCTCTTTTGCACTGGCACACTGCTGAGCCACCACCATGGGTGGGACCCTGGTCTTCCACATATACATACTGTCCGTCTGGACACCAACACACACGAGAGCTCCAGACAGAGACGCAGCAACAGCCAGCATTTTCCAAGCACCTGCCTCAGACCCTAACCCTCAGATGAGGCAGGACACTTGGAGAGGTATAAAAAGGCTACAACACTTGCCTAAGGGACACAGTCGCAAATTGTCGTTTATCAGTTGCATCATCAAATTAAAACCAGACAGCTTCCTAAAACCTTGTAAAAAGCCTCGAAGCCCAGACACAACACATGCAGAGCTGGAGTGAGGAAATGCCACAGGCAGTGTCACCTTCAAAGAGTCACTTCTCTCCAAGGCTCCTGAGCTTGTCTGGGATTGGGCACTGCTGCATGCAGGCGCTGTGGGCAGTGACCAGGCTGACAGGCCAGGAAGGTGCTACCGGGACTGTGCCAGCTGGGTCTAAAACAGCACAAATGACCCTGACGCTTACGCCACCTACCTAGCTAGCAGGTCTGCTGTGCGGGATGACTGTGTCTGAGCGGGGCAAGAGTAAAATGTTGACAATTTTTAAGCTATAAAAAAAAAAAACTAAATTAGTCAGGTGTGGTGGTTCAAGCCTTTAATCCCAGCACTCAGAGGCTGAGGCAGGAGGACTGCTGTGAGGTCAAAGCCAGTCTGGGTTACACAGTAAGACCCTGTCAACCCTGCCTCAAAAAAAAAAAAAAAAAAAAAAAAAGTGCGGGGCTGGCGAGATAGCTCAGTGGACTGAAGCACCTGCTTAGGCAAGCTTGGGCAAGCACAGGATCTGCAGCTCTATCCCCAGAGTCTGGGCATGGTGGTGCCCCCCTGTAACGCCAGCACTGAGGAGGCTGAAAACAGGAGGATCACTATGAGTCTGAGCTGCGTAGTGAGACCCTGTAACAACCAAATACATTAAAACAAAACAAAAACAAAACAAAACAAAACAAAAACCAGAAAGTGCACCAAGTCATTCCTGAAGGAAGATGCAACAGCAGCAGCAGCAGCAGCACCTGATGTCTGCTGAGCACTGCGCGGCCAGGGCCGGTACCGAGGGCTCAGCTGCCAGCTTCCGAGTCCACTTCTGCCTGCCTCATGGGGTGCTGGTGTGCTTCCGTGACATGTCTTCATTACTTTTCCTCTCCCTCCGTCTCCTGTCCTTCCTCCCATTTGAAAAGATCTATCTCCTTTCATCCTGTTATCTATCTTTTGTCTTGCCCTTCATGTATATTTTTGGTCTCTCATATCAGGTAAATTATACAATAAATATTTTGTGTATTTGATTTATTTCATGTAAGGTTATGGTCTCAAGGTGGATCCATTTTCCTGCAAAAAAAACTTGTGTTTACCCTTTATGGCAGAGTAATGCTCCACTAAATATGCAAATACTAATTTCCTTTATCTATTCTGAGGCACAGCAAGGCCACGCCCAGGATTTAGCTATTATGAACTGTGCTATGAACATGGATGTGCATGGTTCATTACAACACGATGTCTTTCACTTATATTCCCATCAACATTGAGACAGTGTTTATTTCCCCCCACAACCTGGCCAGCATGTTATTTAGTGATGATACCCATCCTTTCTAGGGTATGATGGAATTCTGATTGTTTTAATTTGTATTTCTTTAATGGCTAGTGATGCTGAACATTTCTTCATGTGTTTTTGTCTTGTCATCTGTACTTCTGAGAAGCATGTGTGCATTTCAACTGGCCATTTTCTGACTGGGTCTTCTGCTCTGAGGGGTCCACTTCTGAAGCGCTAATACATTCTACGATCAGCCCTCTCTGTGAGGAGTCGCTGGCAGGACTCTTTTCCCCGCTGCAGGCCAACCCTTCACTGACCAGCTGTTGCTCCTGCTGTGTCAAAGCGTGCTGCCCCGACACACCCCCGCTTGCTGACTCTGGGCACAGTCTCTAGCGCAGCTGCTCAGGAGGTCCTCACACACTCTTGGGACTTGAAGAGCTTTACATATTATTTTTATCTCTGAGCAGGTTAAGTGTTTTATCTGCGTCAAGTCAATGAATTGGCATAATTCTATGAAAAAAACCCTGTATTTCCACTTTTTTTTTTTTTTTTGCAGAACCAGGGATTGAACTCAGGCCCTTGTGCTTGCAAGGCAAGCGCTTATTCTACTGAGCTATCTCCCAGCCCCTTTATTTCCACTTTCAAGACACAGAAAAGTTACCTACTTACCTGGGGTCACATAGCCAGCACATGGCTGAACAGGGCTAGAACACAAGAAGTGTGTAGCCAGGGGAAACAGCTATACACACCCTGCCAGGCTCCACCCCATGCCAACATGGGCATGCAGCTAGGGAATCTTTTGTATGGTCTATTGTAGTTCCCAGTCTCCAAGTCCATGTCCGTATCAGACTTACCCTGCAGAATGCTGCTGGTGAGTACCAACCCAGAGGATGAAAAACTTTAAAAGAAATCCATAAATGGTATTAAAGAGTGCAACCAACATGCCAGACTGAACCAGTGAGCTGAAGGTAAAAGCCAACAGCTTGTAGACTTTTGCAAAGGCTTGAATACTCTGGGACTTCAAAATCCTTGAGTAGTAAAGAAGTTGTGCTCATGAGTGACCCTGCACAAGGTCGCTTTTTGGGTAGTCATTTCTTTCATTATTTAACAAAAGAGCAAAACAAAGAGGAGCTGGACACGTCTCAGGTCATGAGAACTTGAGTGTCTCAAAGTTTTAACACCACCATGATTTTTCTGAGCCAGATCCAGCCCATCTTACGAATTTTCAGTTGTCGTCCACTGCATATTTCTGAAGCTGCCTGGAGACCTCTCCTCGAGACAGGATGGCTCCCCACCTCCGGCAAGGACACCTTACTCTCTGTCTACGCTGGCTCCCTAAATGGGTGGCCTAGCCGAGAGCAGCAGCACAAAAGTCTCTGACTCCAGGGAAAGGGCGAGCTGCGTCTTACTGTGAGGAAGGAGGGAAGGCTGGCCGAGGCCCTTCAGTGCGCGGCACCCAGGCCCAGCCTGAAGTGTGCAAAGCGCAGCGCTGTGTCTTGTTGACAATGACAGCAGCCGCGCTCAGCAGTACCATATGGGAGCCACAATTTAGCTCCATTAATGCTCTTAATTTGAAGACATCAAGCCCTAATTACACACTGGGTACTAAAAAGGCAAAACCCTTCCCCGGTGCCAGCTTCTTAGTGGTACGCTGTTGCCGGAACAGCTGGCTGAGGAAGGCGCAGGCCAAGCCGGCCGCGAGCGTGCTCAGGTGGAAGAGCACGGCCAGGGTAAGAGTGCCAGGAATAATAGGCATCCCTTGCCCGTGTGCCCTGGACAGTGCCGGCCCCAGTGCCAGTGGCTCCCTGCTTCCAGTGGGCATTTCCTTGCACTGCAGAAGCACAAGGACGATCACTCCTGGGCACCCAGGGTGGGGCAGGCTCAGGCTCACCTCCTGTTCCATGTTGCCATGCAGCCGCAGGAATTTTAATCGCGCGGAGGCAGATGGCACCTGCCCCGATGCAGGGGCCCCTGTGCGGCGCAGCAGGGTCTGGAGGAAGAGGTTATAGTGGAACTCCACCAGCTCGCAGCTCGAGAAAAAGATGATCATCTTCTGCTCCTTCTCGAACTACAGGACAAGGGGAAAATAAGCACACGTTTCTAAGCTTAGGAGACACGAAAGTGAATCCTGCTCTACAGGATGTGCTTAGGCTGGCCCCCCCACCTGGTGACAGAGTTCGAATTATTTTTAAAAATAACACTGCTCTAGAAAGAGAAGAAAGGAACGTTACAGTATGCTAACACCAAAAAAGCAAATAACGGACTTCAGGGCGCAGCTGCCCCTTGGCACTGTCTCTTTCATTTGCTCAACTGGCTGGCTGACCTTGCAGGTGCAATAAATCTTGATGCTCCATCCCACAGCTCACTACTGTCTTCCCATAGCCCAGAGAAAGTTATCAGCCGAATACGGATACACAAGTGCAAGCTCCTACGTTTGCCTCATATCCTGCATGTTTTTGCCACCTGACGTCCCTGATGATAGTCCCAGGAAAGACATTTAAGGGCAGTTTCAAGTGGAATGTTAGAACTATCACTGCCCTCAGATTATTTATTTATTCGTTTTTTTTTTTTTTTTGTGGAACTGGGGATTGAACTCAGGTCCTTGCGCTTGCCAGGAAAGTGCTTTTTCCACTGAGCTATCTCCCTGGCCCCAACCTCAGATTCTACAGCAGAATCCTGAGCCCCTGGATGAAAGGATTTATGTTAAGGTTTGCATCTGTGAACACAGCTAAGTTAGAAAATTCAGTTTTAGGAGCTGGGGAGATGGCTCAGTGGAATAAGTGCTTCCCTGGCAAGCACAATGGCCTGAGTTCAATCCCCGGTTTCAAAAAAAAAAAAAAAAAAAAAAGAAAGAAGAAAATTCAGTTTTATTTTATTTAAGGGCGCCTCAGCCTCTGCCATCCACATCTAACACAAACCAAGTCTGTGTTTCCTCCCTGGGCTAGGCAGGGCCAAGCCACAGTCCTACCTTGCATTTCTGCAGGATGAAGGCTGCTAGGCAGACCAGCCGCAGCTTGCTGGGGACCAAGGTCACGTACTGCTCGAGACTCTCCGGTATGGCAAAGCTGTGCAGACTGCCGGTGGCCTGTGGAGGACCAACATCCTGCACCACCCTGCCCCGTGCAGTGGACAGGTCATGGCTTTTGTCCAGGACAGAAATACTGACTGGGTTGTGTAAACTGATGTCTGCTAGCCGTGTCACACCTCGGATGAAATGCAGAAAGGAAAAAGGGTCACGCACGTATCCCCGCAGCGTTGATCCTGACTGACGAAGAAGGTCCCAGCCCTGATGTCCCTCCTCCCACCTTGCTGGCGCAGCACCCCTCTTAACGGTGAGCCACTGCTGCCAAGGTCAGCTCCCAACACTCACTGTGGACAGGCATCCAAAGGGACAGAGACGGGTGGCACCCATGCTTGCAAGGCTTTCCTGCTCAAGGCATCTCTGAGAATCTTAGATGAAGCTAACTCCAGGCTTCTTTGCTACGGGCCTTCTCTTTACCAGGTCAGGCACACCAGGAACCTCCAAGGGGGGTGGCGTGTGCCCCTTCCTAGCAGGGTCTCTCGAGGCTCCTCCTCCAAGTGTGCTTTGAGGAGTATCCACGGCTCGCTTAAATGGTGCCTGGCTTGTGCACACCACGATGTGGCCTGGCAAATAGGCTGGCCAGACACAAAGCTCACAGGCGCTTTTGCTGTCCACGCAGCAACTCAGTCTAGGGCAGCTCTGATAAAGTGGTGTAATTTTTTCCCAAGCCTTACTGAGTTTTCCCACCCATGAATGTAAGAATTTCCCTCCTAAGAAAGAAGCTAAGTACAAGTAGTTTTAGTGAGGTAAAAGGTATGATTACATTCAAAAACACAGTTGGAAAGAACAAGAGCCCTGCTGCAGCTCCAACGAAAACCTCATGAAACCACTGGGCTGTTGGCAGCCAGCCTCATTGTCCCCTGCTCCTCACATCAAGGACAGTAGCTCTGGGACCTGACCTTCCTCCCCTTCCTAGTTCCAGGGGACACAGCAGCCTGGAGAGACAGGATAAGGGCAGCTGGGTGTGCAGCACAAGAGAAGAACAGTACACTGGGACCACTCTATCCCCTAGCAAACAACTGGGCTCCACCTGGGTCCTCCCCAGGTCACCCCTCCTTGTCACTTACCTTCTGTGAGTGTGGCTGACAGCAAGACGTTCTGACGCTTCTGGCATTCAGCATTTACTGCATTGAGGATCACAGTGATATCCTTTTCAAAACCCAAATCCAAGATTCTGTGATTGTAAGAGAAGAATGGAAACTATTCTATTTCCATGATAGATGGAAGCACAATGCCAGGGCTACAGAAGTTGCCACAGAGATGGAGAAGCAGCCCTTTCCTCCCACCTCTCCTCCTTCCAGGATGAGGCTCACCTGTCTGCTTCGTCCAAAACCAGCCACTGAATCCGGCTAAAATGAATGTTCTTTGTGGATTTTATGTGATCCACTAGCCGTCCAGGAGTTGAGATGAGGATATTTATTCCTTTGCGGAGTCTATTTAAAATTATACATCACAAAAGAAAGCAAATCAAGCAGGGCTGTAGCAACAGAAAACACATGAAAAGAGGCAAAGGACACAGACGCACTGTGGGACAACAAAATGCCCAGGGGATCACCAGGAGTGCCGTCACCCACGTCTACATAATACACTGTTATGGTCCGAAATTCCAGCCAAGTCCTAGCGCCCTTGCTCTGGAAAGCACCTTAACCACACCACCCAACGGTCGCATCTGCTTCAGACCTCCTTGGTGCATTCTGGACACGCGCACGGTCATCTGGCTGGCTTCTGAAGGCTCCCATGCTGGGAATCTCCTACCCAGGTGAGCTATTCATTACCAGTGAGTGCTAACTGCTAAAGGACTGCTTGTTTCTTACAATGAACTCTTTAGCAAACTTCCATAACATAGGCCTATGCTTTGCCCCACAGTGTACTGTAGAATAAGCCAAATTTCTTACTCCCAAGCACTGTCCCATTTCTTTACAGTAGCAGACACGACCGTCAGCTGGCTGTATTTTCTAGTTTTCCTTTCGGTGAAGTCTGGCCACTTGCCTGTGCTTTAGCAGTGAGATAAAAGGACCAAGGGAGTGGGCCAGTCACACAAGTTGTCTGGAGAAAGGACCCGTAACCAGCTTTGTTCTTGTTGGAAGAAACTAGAAAAATGGCAGGAGCGCCAGCAATTATCCAAGTCTAAGGTAACTTGAAAAAGGCAATCTCGCACAGGCGCACAAGCAGAGGCCGGGGCCTGCATCGGGGGCCAGGCAGGCCGTAGTTCGGCTCCATGAGATGGCTTGCTCTTCTTTTTTAATGGTACTGAGGATGACCCCAGGCCTTCACCCTGAGCTCCATCCCAGCCTCCTTTATTTTGAGACGGTCTTGCTAAGTTGCCCAGTGGGACCTGAGCTGGCAATCCGACTTCCTCAGCCTCCTAGCCAAACGTCTCGGATGTGAAAGAAAAAACCACTTCAGCACTGTTTATGCCACTGCTATTTTCACTGTTATTATTTATGATGGAATTTAATCCTAACCAGTACTTTTAGGTGTCAAGTTTTATACCAACTCCTTTTCTAGCCACCATAACACATTCTAACACAGATTTAGGAATCAATGAATTTTGGTGGAGAAAACAAGTTGCTAAATTCCCAATGTACATGGAAAGCAGTCACAAACAAGGGGCCATGTTGTGCACAGGAGGGCTGCAGGGTGCCTGGTGGGTAGGAGTTAAGAAGGTACAGCACTGTCACTCACCCTCTCAGAGGGAAACCTGGTCACAGCTCGGTCAGTATTTCAATAAACATCCAACCTGTCCCTGCATTTAGGAATCAGGAGGCACAGTGGGCAACAAGTTTCTCTCAAGTCCATGAGGACCAACCCTTGCTGACAAGATGGGAAAGACAGATTCCAGAAAAAAAGAACAGCAGCCACCTCTTCTTACCTGGCTTTTTCTGATTTTCTCTTCTCTCCACCCATCAACACTCCAGGCACAATCCAGGTGAATGGCTACAGACAACAGACCAAAACCAGTGTAAGGCCCCCTTGCCTGCACACACAGGCAGTCTCAGTCCTAGATCTCATGCCAGTCAGGCAAGAGGAACAGTGCAGGCCTCGCCTTTGAGTTACTGTGCACAAACAGATCGTGAGCGCTGCTGTGCTCAGAGTGTCGGCACTACCTTCGATTATGGCTCCATAACTAGCTTCCAAAGCTGCAGGAGACCAGCATGAGCGTCAGCTTAAGTGAGGCAAGCAGCTCTCCTGCCTTCCCCATGGAACCTGACTAGAGAACAAAGCCCAGCAACTCTGCTGCCTCCGGGAGGGGGCTAAGATGGACCACGAGCAGCTCTCCTACTCTGTACCCGATGAAACCAAGGACAGAGCAACTCCTGAAGCAGTCGGGGGGGGGGGGGAGGGCAGGCCCTGACTCTTGGAGCTTTTCCCTCTTCTCTCTTGAACAAAGCCTACTTGCAGCTCTACTGCTTTCCATGGGCTTGCCTGAGGGCGGTAACCTGCAAGTCTCTGTGTGTCGCTTGCTCGTGATTCTGATGACTAGATGATAGGACCTGAAGCTGTGGGGAGCACGGGTACCTTAGACGAGCTGGGAACCAACAGTCACTGAGGCTTAGGTCAGACAAAGCTGAAGACTATGCCTACAGAAAGCAGAGATAGCCAGGGAGGAAGGCAGTGACGTAAGGCCTCTCTCTTTGAAAAGAAAGATGTATATTAATCTCTCTTCAGAATGTCAGAAAAAGATAAAAATGAACTCACGGTTGTCTTACCTTAAGCAGTTTCTGGACAGTGTCAAAGCTCTGTAGAGCCAGCTGAAAATATTCAAAAGTTAAAACTATGAATATGGTCCCTTCCCCCCACATCCTTTTTTCTTTTTCTTTTTTTTTTTTTAAGGTCATCTACGTTAAGACCCAAACCTAGGATTAAGGGGAAAATGCCCTATGGACAGACTTCTCTCTGGAACTCTACCTGGTTCTTAGACAGGCCGTGCAACCTGTCCATGTGGGAAATGAGGGGAGAGACATCACACCTACTTCTTAGACATGGAGAAAAATAACGCTTTGTGCTCCCTCTGCTGGCTCAAATTCCCAGAGTGTCACACAGATAAGTGCAGACCCATTGTGCACAAAGATGGAAGAGGACGAGACTAGGTCAACTTGAATGCGGCCTTCTCAGAAAGAGAAAGAAAGCGTGCATGAAGGACGCAGAGGCACAGTTGTGCAATGCAGGGACATCGCTTTACGGTGATCTGCTGTGTACTGAAAGACTGGGCTTTAACGTTGTTCTTAAGTTCACAAAACACAAACAGCAGCTCCAGTGAAAACCAGAGAAAAGAAACATCAACGCAGGCTCTCGCCATGCCCCACCGTTTGGAAGGCCTCTGCTGGCCCCTTACCCGCGGTGTGCAGAATCTGCACGCCCGGGTCCCGAAGCACCTCGGGCGGCTGGACCTTGGCTGCCCCAGCAGCTGAAGCTGTCTGCCCCTTTGCTGCCCTGAGCAGAGATGGGCCCTGCACGCTGAGTGAAGGACTGACCTGAAACTGTACTCGACACAGAAAATGGACAGCCTGGCCCTAAACTGCCCCACAGGCAAAACGCGGATCAGACAGGAGAGATTTCCAAAGACAAGACAGTATCAACAAGCTTCACTTCTGGGAATAAACAGAAGTTCAACTAGCAGTGGCTTCTTTAAAAAAATTAGTTTTCAGAGCTGCTTTTATTTTTAAATTAAGTTTGAAAGAAAAAAATACCATAGGAAGTATGATTATTTTAACTCCTTTTAAAAGGACAGGGATCTAATAATATCATTAGTTTTTAGATAGCAGGGAAAGACTTTTCCATACTTAGGATTTTCAAAGAAATCTGGCTCGACTTTAACGCCATCTTCTTAGGAACCTCTGCGCCATGAGAGCCAAGTGGAGGAAGAAGCGAATGTGCAGGCTGAAGCGGAAAAGAAGAAAGATGAGACAGAGGTCCAAGTAAAATAGCTCGTACACCCATGGAGGCCAAAAGAACAGAAAGAATGCTGGAGACTGACAACGCTCGTCAAGTTTTGGACTGCGTGCTGGATTAGAACTTCATTGCCATCTGATCGCCAACACTACCTCAAAGAGATCACCTGGCTCCAACTAAGCAGTCTCCTGGTTTTTTTGCCCCAGACCTGTGGCATTCTGGACTACTACTGTTCTCTCTTTTGGCTGAGTGTAAAGTGTGTACAATAAATCATCTCTTCTGTATTAGCTGAAGAATCAAAAAAAAAAAAAAATCTGAATTTTTCTCCTTGAAGGAACCAGAATGATGGTTCCTCTCACGGGAAAGAACTGTGCAGTCCCTGTGCAGTGGGAGGACAGCGGTGCAGGGACCCTACGTCACCAGGAGCTACTGTGCGCATCCGCCTCACACTCACACCGCAGCAAGCGAGCGGCTTACCTCTCTCGTTGGCACCAGCACCAGAGCATAGGGGCCATCACTGCGCTGTCGACAGAAGAACAAGATGTCATGAGCAGACGGCCGGACCCCACGGGCTGCCACGGTGACCCCCGGCACGCCCGCTCACCGCAGAGCGCGACTCTAGCAGGCCCGGCCCACGGGCCTCAGATGGACAATTACGGCCCGCACGACTGCAAAGAGGCAAAGTCTCCGTTACTAGCACATGATGTTCTTTTATCTTAGGAAAGAGAACCGACTGAGAAAGTACTACAAATTGGGTATTTCAGTCACATACTGAATGCAAAATTAGTGTATAAAATTAATGTATAAAATAGCCTTCTAGTAGAGAAACTCAGAAAACACAATGGAAGGAAAAATTTTACATTTACAATGGCAACAATAAAAACTATAAATGTGAGCTTTAAAAATGTATAAAATCTATATGAAGAAATTTAAAACACATTTGGGGCATAAAATACAATTTAAATACATGGAAAGATGTAACCTATTTTTGGATAAAAAGATCCAATGCTGCAAATAAATTCTCCTCTAAATGAATCTGTCATGTACTCACAACAAAGCACCAGAAAAGTGTGCCCACATATGTGTACGTATAATACATCCAACCAGACACGATGGTTTCAATGTAACCATGCACAAATAAATGTAAAAATAACTAAACCTTTATAAAAAAATCTGTTGGATGGTAAAGTTATTTAAAGCTACAGCAATTTAAAAGCAAGCACCTGTGAGCCAGGTGTGGTGGCACACGCCTGTAACCCCAGCACTGGAGGCTGAGGCAGGAGGCCAGCCTCAATTATAGCGCAAGACCTTGCCTGAAAAAACACTCAAGGCAGCGCAGCGGTGCACACCTATGACCTCAGCACTCAGGCGGCTGAGGTAGGAAGATCACTGTTTGACTCCAGTTTGGGCTACAAAATGAGCTAAAGGCCAGTTGTAACTGCATAGTAAGACCCTGTCTCAAAGACCAAAACAAACAACCTCCCAAAATGAATCAACCAACCAAATCCCAAAACTGGCGCACAGAAATTATAATATCAAGTACTGTCTAGAACAGAATCAAAGACATACCAGAAGCTGGCTGTGGTACAACCGAGCCTGTAGCCCTAACACTCTCACAGGCTGAAGCAGGACAGGGTCCGGGAGACAGCTCAGCAGCCTAAGTGCCTGCCTGACAAGTGCAGGGTTCTGAGTTTGATCCCCAGTACAAAAGAAAAACAAATTTAAGTTTGAGGACAGCCTGAGTAACTAAGTAAGACCATGTCCCCCAAGATAAAAGAGGGCAGAGGATATAGCTCAATGAGAAGATCCTAACTTCAATATTCAGCACCATCAAAAAAAGGAAAAAGTTAAAGCACCTGCAAGCAGGCACAGAGGCCAAGGGTTCGATCCCCTGGCCGGCCATGCCAGCCCCGCCCCTAGGGCGTGCTGAGACAGCAGGTGAGACTGGGCATGGTAGCAAGCGCCTGTAATCCCAGCTCTTGGGAGGCCGTAAACAGGCGGAGCACTACGAGTCTGATCTAGTAGTGAGACCCTGAACACTCTGTAGACCCTTCCCTACAATATTTTAAAAAAAGAGAGAGAGAGAAAGAAAAGAACGAAGAAAACCCTGGGGCTGGGGGGATAGCTCAATAGAATAAGTGCTTGCCTGGCAAGCACAAGGGCCTGAGTTCAATCCCTGGTTCTGAAAAAAAAAAAAAAAAAAAAGAAAAAGAAAACCCTATGGGAAAATAATGTAAGGATCGTTTTATTGTGCATCAACAGAAATGGTCAATTACTCATAATCTCTTTGAGAAGAAAAATAAAACTGACATTAGTTGGCCTTTTTTTTTTTTTTTTTAATGTACCTGGTAGTTACAGGGTCTCACTATGCAGCTCGGATTCACAGTGATCCTCCTGTTTTCAGCCTCCCCAGCGCTGGGATTATAGGATGCACTACTATGCCCAGACTATGCAGGCTCAGCCTGCCCTGGGGGCAGGGGCTGGTGCATGTGTAGCTAGGGATCGAGCCACATGTTCCCTGCACTTACCTAAGTGTGCCTAAGCAGGTGCAGTAGTCCACTGAGCTATCTCACTGACCCAGTTGGCCTTCTTTTACAAATGATAAAAAACTCATACACCAGAATACTCTGATAATTTAGTACATAAAAATTTGAAGTGCCAGAATAGAAAAATATGACCACAGAAGTCTAAGAGTCAAGTGACCACACAGAGAAAATATATGCAGGGGCCGGGGAGATAGCTCAGTAGAACAAGCATTTGCCTGGCAAGCACAAGGGCCTGAGTTCAATCCCCGGTTCCGCCATAAAGAA